TTATTAGACAATGCGCAATATGCCTACTCGATTCTTCGTTTTGTTGCTCTATCATCGGTTGATCCCCGAATACGATCCCGGCTAAATTCCTTGGGCTTTTACTCAGACATCAATGCTCCAAATTACTTGAATTCATTCCATAACATCTACATAGATCGGTATCACCCCTACAATGCATAAAACACACAATTAGTGCAAGACACTAGCGATTAAAGCTCAAACTCAATTAAAGTGCAGTAAATTTGAGTGTAATAAGCGACTAAAATACGTAATTATAGCATATCATCAACACCCCAAACTTAAATCATTGCTCGTCCTCGAGCAATCAAACTATACTTTATATAGACACGACCTTTTTAAACAATTCTCCTAACTCATCACACCAAGAATATTTAAAATAGACTAAGCACAAAAGCGTAACATCTTCACCTCAAGATTCGACTCACAAGTACCACGTATTATTCACAATCCACTCACTTACTCTAACATAGAGGTTACTGATATTACCTTTCCTTCATGAATCAAGTGCCCTCACACAACAAAAGAGAGTAGTTCCACACAATAAAATTTAAGAACACTTAGGAATTCAAGATAGAAAGAATTCACTCACTCTCAGAAATAACATTCATATGCCACAAAAGATGCACCATAGGCTTGCCCGTAGTGTACTACTCCACAAATCGAGCTCATTCAATCTAGGATCAATTAGGTCTTTATTTGGTTGTAATGTAGGCTACGGGACGGGTATGATACATTTAGATATAAGAGTGACTACACCTCCCTAAGCACTTTAATACATATACTTTAACATTCAAACCCCATACTTATGTCAAACCAAACTCCACCTTCACATTAATGTATATTACCCATTCTTCTTTAAGCACACTTACATCAAAAGCCACCACTTATCAAGGAATATTTTTATTCAAAACAATCGAACTATTTTTTTTTTCTTTTTTTTTCCCAATTCAAGTGGCTCTTACTTTTTTCAAAACAGTGCACCTTTCTCCTTATTTCATTAGTTCCACTTAAAAGCCAAACCAACCACCCTACACTTTAACTTTTACACAGTTCATAATAATTCAAGTGCTCATGAGAGGTTAAAAGGTTCAAATAGATGATTAATTCAAACAAATGGATAAGGCTTGTAATGTGGTTGCCAAAGAAATAAGATTACAGGCTCAAAGGGGTTAACTACGATACATAATAATTAGGTGGGTAAAATATACCTATCTGGCTCAACAAAGAAATGCCTATATCACTTCCAAGACTGAACAAAACTACTATTTCGCTTTGCAAACACACAGGGCAAGTTCTAGGCATCAAATGCAATGCACAGAATATAACAAATTCTTACACACACATGGCACATAACTCACTCAGGATTGGTTTCATCAAGACACTCTAGTCAAAGCAGTTAAGCAAGTTTAAGATCATAAAATTTAAGGTACTTATACAAGAGTAAAAAACTGAGCCTAAGCGTCACAACCAAAGTACTCGCTATTCTCAAGGCATAACAAAGTCAAGAGATATCGCTTCATTTCAAAACACAACACAATGGCTCCTATTCTAAAAAAAAAGACTAACTATATCCAGTTCAAACAAAACCCTTGGAAAAGAACCGCGGCACAAAGAAAAACCAAGGGGGAATTGCTACACTACCTAACAAAAGAAAATATTTTTGTCCTTTTTCTTTAGACTTAAATCCCTCAAGAAAATTATCTAATAGATCCATCGTCGGGAAAAGTCCAATCTTTTCTATTTAAAAAAAAATATTCAATTAAACTAACACAACTAAAATAGCATAGAAAGTCACCCAGACAATCTCCTCACCCCACACTTAAAATTGTGCATTGTCCCCAATGCACACCCATACATACAAGAGGGTAAAAGAAACTCCCTGGTAGGCCAAAGGCCGAAGCACTTGCATCTCATGGGGTACTCAGACTTCTCCCAGGCCCGATCCTTCGTGCGGGTACCTCACACTTAGTTCCAACCATCTTCTTCGCTGTTGCATCCTTCCAATAGCTTTGCTTTCCATGCTCCTAGAAAATTAAAAATCGACACTACAAAAATAATACAATAAAAAAAAGCAGTAAAGCTGGGTTGCCTCCCAACAAGCGCTTGATTTAACGTCGCGGCACGACGTGAATCATCTTTTTGCCTCCACCTCGAGCTTATGAATTGAACCCCAAGTTTTGATTCAAGCTTATGATTATGCTCTGCGGTACAAATTCTTGCGAGCCAAAAATTAGATAAAATCTTATGCACTTTTTGGCTCTCGACCGAGGAGTGTCACCTTGCCAAGACGGCCTTGAGAATTTCAAAATATAAGGCTCATCTACCTCTTCCTTGGACTCTTTTTTATGCTCGTAAGGATCCATTCCCTTTTCACCATCCGAACATAATGTAGAGAAGTGTTTGGAATGAGGTCCAACGCGCTCAAATACATGAACTTCATGATTTTTGACCTCCTTAACACCAATCACACTAGAGTCAACTAAATTTGTATCTTCAATGTCCTTGGCCGACTCTAGTGTTACTTCTTGAACATCGGCATCCTCAAATTATAGTTGGATAGATTGTTGGTGTTCTACTCTAACCTCCTCTCTTAGCACCTCAATTTCGGTGTCTAATTCATGCTCTTCTTGACTACTATCCCCAATATAGGCTTGTTGAGCATTAAATGCTTCAACTAGTTGACTCATTTGTGCCTCCAGGTTGCGAATAGTAGCATCTTGCCTTTCTATCTGCATTTGTCTTTCATCTTTTTGTTCCACAAGGTACTTTAGCATATCCTTGATCTCTTTCAGGTTATCATCCCGGGTTCTTTGTTCCTATTAACTTCACAAGAAAAAGTAGAACCATCAAAGTAAGGGGTTGGGGAAAGATAAGAAATATAAGCACAACCATGAAAGTGACCTTCTTGACCACCACACATATCACATACATTCCATACATAAGATTGAGTTGGTGCACATAACTCGCTCTCGGGAATATTTTGACTAATTTGACCCAGGTGGTTTCCGCCACAATTCACACAAGGAAGATCAACAATAGAACTACCAACATCACAATTCCCATAATTCCAGGATGCCATGTTTCTCAAATTAACAAGTAAAAAAAAATAAAATAAAAAATCAAATACAAGAAAATAAAAATAAAAGTTCAAACTTGTAAACTAACAATATGTACACCTACAGCTACACCGTTAGTTCCCCGGCAACGGCGCCAAAATTTGATCACGCCCAACTCTAGTCCTAAAAAGGATAAGCGGTCGCTGCAAATATAATCCGGTCTAAAAGTCCGGAGTCGAATCCCACAGAGAANTTTCTCTTATTGTAGACTAAGGAGTCGTGAAAATTGCATAGCTTGAGATTGGGGCAGTATATACAAGGTATGTGAGTCTATCCCTTTCCTTCTTTTGCACGACTCCGATTGTACATAATGTAATGAACGAGCTTCCAAAGATACTCTACTCTTAGAATATTGTCAACTAATGAGACAAAGGGTTGAAGACTAAATTAAGGAGGTCTAGAGTTATGATTTCCCCAATTGTCGGAATCCTTCTAGCTATGTTCCCTACAATTTCGCCAATGTATTCTCTACCGATTGTGAATATTTTGGTTGTCGTAATTCTCTCTTGAGCAACTACCACAATTTACTAGATGTATTCTCTCGAACTACACTAGCTGACATTAATTCAGTGCTCACTACGATCGCATCAAGGTTCCGTTATCTCTAGTCCCGCCTTTAAACCCTTCGTATTGATCTCTCACATACGTTAGGAGTGATGTTGTTCAACAACTACCTAAATATGTATCCTTTCTCAAGCAACACATAATAAATAGGCACAGTCAATCGATGGTCATTCAATCAACAACAATAAACACGTAGTTGAACAAGTAGAGAAATCCAATGGCTCAATTATATAAAAACATAACAAGAATTTATCCTACAAAAGGTTCCATCAAAATCCTAGACAACAAATTAGCTATTCATAATAGTATGTAAAACTACAATACTAAAAATCATAACCAACAATGAAAAATTGGAAGAGGAAGGAAAAACTCGTTAAAGAATTCTCCGCCTTGCTCCCAGTGTGTTCTTGACTCCTTAGGTCGAATCTCCGGTCTCCTTAGCCTCCTTAGGTCTAAATTATGTCAAAAGTGTGTCAAAAATTGGTCTCCTCCTTTAAAATATCATTTTTCCATGTATATATACCAAGTAGGGTCGGGCCCAAACTATTATATCTTCTCCTACGCGAAAAAGGACAATTTTTTCACGTCTGGACTGCTGCGGCCGTGGTAAACCGCGGTACGACCGCGGTATATGGCAAGTATACTGCCTCAGCCCGTCTCAAGTCCGCAGTCGCGGTTTCGACTGCGTTTTTCAGCCTGTTCTATTTGGAATTTGGAAAAACGTAAAACATGAAAGTTGTAGCCCTTTGAGTTAGCTTTCCAACCATATATTGTGGAGCCCAAATGAAGTTCTGAACAAAAAGTTATGTGCATTTTACTATACAATGCGCAATATGCCTATTCGATTCTTCGTTTTGTTGCTCTATCATCGGTTGATCTCCGAATACGATCCCGGCTTGATTCCTTGGGCTTTTACTCAGATTTTAAAGCTCCAAATTACTTGAATTCATTCCATAACATCTACATAGCTCGGTATCACCCCTACAAGGCATAAAACACACAATTAGTGCAAGACACTAGCGATTAAAGCTCAAACTCAATTAAAGTGCAGTAAATTTGAGTGTAATAAGCGACTAAAATACGTAATTATAGCCTATCATCACTCCTCAATCTCTACTATGGAACTATGATTTTAAAAAAAGAAAAAAACATCGAGAACCATTTGCAAAAATTGAATCCGCTTAAACCATCCGACAAACAATTTCCACATAAAATATGAGTGCTGTGGAGATGCATGTGTCTTCATCTTCGAGTGAAGGCACCCCTGTACGAGAAAACATGGTAGATCTGGAAAAATAGTCGGAAGGGAAAATAGCCGAGCTAGGAATCAATGGAACAGTAACACTTGAGCAAAATGAGGAGCTGACAGCACATGCAACAGTACCGAACAAGGTGAGAACCAGGGCAAATCTATTTGCGGGCAACAGATCTTCGGAAAATGGTATGGTACCATCTTACTTTTCCCCAAAAATTGTTGATGGTAACATTGTGGTTAAAGTTGACAAAGAAGAAATAGAGGAACAGAATAAGATATGGGAATGTGCCCTAATCGTCTATGTAATTGGAGATTTGCCAAGATATAAATTCATGGGAAAATATGTTGCTCAAGCTTGGAGTAAAGTAAACATACCTGATTTGTATCTACATGATGAAGGATACTATATAGCAAAGTTTCACACAATTGGGGATCTAAAGGATATCCTGTATGGAGGGCCCTATACTATTAGTGGTAGACCAATTGTCTTGAAGCAATGGACACCAGATTTTGATATTAAGGCAGAATTCTTGATGGAGATTCCTTTGTGGGTTACTATACCTAATTTGCCTATGAGTTACTGGCGTAACAAGACACTAAGCAAGCTAGCAAGTGCCATTGGGAAGCCATTATTTGCAGATGAATGTACCACCAAGCAGACTCGTGTGTCCTATGCAAGAATTTTGGTGGAAGCTAATGTGACAAAACAGCTTCCCACTGAATTGACTTTGCAAGAACCATCGGGAAAATGGTCCAGGTGCAAGTGGAATATGAGTGGAAGCCACAGTACTGTATAAATTATATGAAAATAGGGCATGATTGTACAAAGGGGAAGAAAGCACACAAAGAAGATATCCTAGTAAAACAAACACAGGGGAGAATAGTCACAAAATGGCAAGTAAAAGGGCAAGGACAAAAGCAACAAACTGAAACAAATGGAGGAATCAACAAACAAGCAAGGCAGATGGATAAGAAAGCAGATACAAGCAATGTCAATCCTGAGGCTCAAAAAGTGACAATTGATAAGGGGAAAACAAAGGAGAGTGAAGAATGGCCAGCCTTGGCTAGCAACACCAGAATGGCATTGAATAGAACAACAATAATGACAACAAATGCTTTCCAGATATTGTAACAGGAAGAGGGGAGTAGGGAGGAACCAAGACCACCTGACATAGGTGGTGGAATAATCAGTCAATAATGACTTGGTTGTTCTGGAATATTAGGGGTTTGAATAAATGGTATAAACAAAAGGAAATAAAGCAGTACATCAGAGATAAACAAATAAAGCTGGTTGGTATAGTTGAAACAAAAGTGAAGGAAAACAATGCAGAGAATGTGATCAATAGAGTAGTACCTGGGTGGAAAAAAATTACAAACTATGAGCATGTTGTGAATGGAAGGGTGTGGATCTTATGGGATGAACAAGTATATAATGTGCAACCTCTGAGCAAGCTTGATCAATTCATACACTGTATGGTAACAGGAAAACAGAATGGGATCCATTTTTACTGCACAGTGGTGTATGGACATAATGATGCAGAGCAAAGAAGGAGATTATGGGATCACATTAGGGGAATGGCTAAGAACATTACAGGACCTTGGCTATTGGGAGGAGATTTCAATGCAATTCTCAATATACAAGACAGAATGTCAAAAATTCCAGTGAAGAATACAGATATCAAGGAACTTGCTGAGCTATGTCAGGATATTGGCATCACTGAAATACCATGGAGAGGGGACTATTTACAGTGGACAACAAGCAGGAGGGGATGAG